TTTTTTTTTCTGGTTTTTGTAGAGGTGGTGGTCTCGCTATGTTGGCCAGTCTGGTTTCTAACTCCTTGCCTCAAGTGATCCCCCACCTCAGCCTCCCAGAGTGCTGGGATTATAGGTGTGAGCCACTGTGCCCAGCCTAGTAGCCTAGTGAATTATTATTTAAAAAGACATGTTAAAAAATCTACACTTAGAGAAGAGAGAGCCAGACTTTGAATATGCTTCGTTTTCCCACTTTCTCACATTCTGTCTCTCTGAGGCAGAACTGCACTGTTCTCTGAGCCCCCCGGTCTCTGCCAGGCTTGCGGATCTGAAGGTATGTGGAAAATGCTCATCGACTTTGGTCCTAAACTTCCTGGCTTCTGACTGCTGCACAGTTAGTGAAGGAAGAATTCTCCTTTTAATTTGAGAAATGTGCTGGGTGTGGCAGCTCACGCCTGTAATCCTAGCACTTTGGGAGGCTGAGGTCAGGAGTTCGAGATCAGCCTGGCAAACATGAAGAAACCCTATCTCGACTAAAAATACAAAAATTAGCTGGGTGTGGTGGCAGGTGCCTGTAATCCCAGGTGCTCCAGAGGCTGAGGCAGGGAGAATTGCTTGAACCCGGGATGCGGCGATTGCAGTGAGCCAAGATTGTGCCACTGCACTCCTGCCTGGGCTATAGAGCAAGACTTTTTCTCAAAAAAAAATAAAAATAAAAATAAATAAATAAATAAAAGAAAAGAGAAAAAAAGAAATATATGAAGATTTCCCACACCCCCAATCCCACTGCCCCATCCCTGTACCCCAACTCCATTTTTACGCTGCAAGGTTTCCCACCCTCCATATGAGGAGACCCTTGTCAACACAGCAGGTGCACCTCAGCTGGGAACGTGTCTCAGTGTCTTTAAATTTCTCAAGAGTCTCAGTTTTATCCCTATTAACACACCCAGCAGTGGAAACAGCAGAAATCACTCTTCTTTTGTAAGGGGAGTTGTGTCTCAGAGAGTTGGTTGTTTGAAATATAATTTCTCCAGCTCATTATGTCAAAACTGACATTTGAAGTATGCATGAGGACTCCTTTTGTATTAGGGAAGGAGTCTAATCCTTACGGAAACAGCATCAGTAGGGTGTGTGTGTGTGTATGTGTGTATGTGGAGAGACAACGAGAGAGTAAGAGAGAGAAGAGAGAGAGAAGGAGAAAGAGAGAACCTTCTTATAAGGAATCAGCTGATGTGATTATGTAGGCTGACAGGTCCCAAGATCTTCCATCTGTAAGCTGGAGACCCATGAGGGCTGATGGTATAAGGTCCAGCCTAAATGCAGACAAGCTGACAAGCTGCAGACACACAAAGAGCTAATGTTTTAGTTTGAGTCCAAAGGCAGGAAAAACACTGATGTCTCAGTTGGACGGCAGTTAGACAGGAGGAGTTCTCCTTACTCCTTGAGAGAAGGGTCTGCCTTTTTGTTCTATTCAGGCTTTCAACTGAGTGGCTGGGAGGGCCATCTGCTGTACTCAGGGCCCACTGATTCTGCTGTGAATCTCATCCAGGTCCGTCCTTGCAGACACAGTGAGGCTGTGTGACCAAATGTCTAGGCACCCTGTGGCCCACTCAAGTCCTAGAGCACTGACCATCACACCTTTGGTATAATCTCCGGATTCTTAATTTCCTGGATCGCATGGCTGCAGAGGCTGCACTAAAGCATCATGGGTCACAGCGATCTAGTTGCTGGTGCACCTCTCCTGCTTCTCACGTGGGCTGATGTTCAAGGGCCTCATTTTAGCTCAGCAGGCTAATTTTCTTATTGTAAGACTCTATACATGAATGATAAAATTATAGAGAAGAAAAGTGATTTCATAGGTGGTGGGGATTCATTCCCGAGAGGCAGGGCTGAAGTCAGAGCCTCCAGAGCCTTCTCCCACTGTCTTCCACCAATCCTGCCCCAGGGCCAATGGCTACATGAGGCATCAAGTTCCAGTACGCAATGAGATTTGCTAATCCGATTTTGCATTTTCTGGGCTTTGCAAAAGCCAGAAAAGAGTCGCAAACATGACTATGACTCCTCAGCCTGAAGCCATCTGGGTGTGTTTTTTTTGAGGGTCCACAGGGGGCTTTCTCATGTCCTTGGGTTTGCAGCATATTTCATTTTCTGCTGCTCCAGATGCTCGTTCAGGCATGTGTCAGAAATGGATAGCCCAGCCTTGCCCCTTTGCAAAGGTCAAGCTCTCCTGCCAGACAGCCACAACTTGTCTGGACGGAGATTTAGGGCTGTCTTCCCAAGAAAGGTGTGTATGTCGGGAGTTTGACCCTGGTCTCCAAGGCTTGAGGACAGGTGGTTTTCCTTGAGGTTTTGTCTTGGATCATTTGTGGCATTCGGAGCCACTTCTGGTCTTAACTTTCCCACTTCCAGTGTTGAAATGGAGTTGGTCTGGGATTATAAGTCACCTAGGACAGACTGTGGAGATTTATTTTATTCCTTTGGAGGGAGGTGGACAGAAGAATCTATTGAGGAGAGAACGTGGAGCCTACTGTTTATAAAGTTAGCATTTAAGTCCCACACAAAGCCTGCTTCTTAAATACTGTTGTCCCAGGGCTACTGGCAAGGTGACTGGCTGTGCCCCTTTGGTTTATCCTGTTACTGCCAAGCTTGGCATTTGCACTCTTGCCTTATCCTTCATTCAGAATCCAGGTAGATTCACACGCATGTCTGTGCCTGTGCGTGTGTGCATACCTGTGATAAAAGCAGGGAAGAAAAATGCTTTGTGATGAGGCTTGGGTATCATCAGACTTTACAGTTGATTATTCCCCCTCTTCCATAATCTTACTCCTTTTCTCCACCCAAGGAACCATGAGAAGGCGCACTCTGGCTTGTCTAGGTTGCTTTAGGCCAAAGACACAGTATTGAAACTTTTCATGTCAGTGACGTGACACTTTGGTAAATCATAGCAGCTAAGACAAGACCAAGTTGCTGTTGCCAAGAGATTTTTTAAAAATCTGAAAGTGAAGTTCTGTTTTTATCCATTTCAACAGCTTACTGGAGAGTTTCTCTGTGCTGAAGACAAAGAGATGTCTCATGTGTCTTTGATGTGGTCTTCACTCGGGAATAGTTTACGGTCCACGAGAAGAATGTGTAGGGAACCTGATTCTTCGGTGCCCTGTTTATGGCTTTCTGGGTTGACTGATTTCTCATAAACAGTATCAAATATTCTGAAAAAGGAGGGACACCAGCAAATACAAAGCAATTAGGAAGAAATTCAAGAGATTGGAGGAACAAACACAGAGAACCTCAATCATCACATTAAGAGTGTTATTCCCCCAGCTACTCGGGAGGCTGAGGCAGGAGAATTGCCTGAACCCAGGAGGCGGAGGTTGCGGTGAGCCGAGATCGCGCCGTTGCACTCCAGCCTGGGTAACAAGAGCGAAACTCCGTCTCAAAAAAAAAAAAAAAAGAGTGTTATTACCGGCGGCATCCTAGACCTTCTAGCCATGTGCTGATATGTGTCGTAACCTTTGTGCAGAGTCTTAGGCTAGAGACTGAAGTGACTTGTGTCAGCGCTTTCTCTGCAGCTCATGGTGATCCTGTACCATCCTAAAGATAAGAACATGGTGTTAGGTCTGGCATCGTGGCCCACACCTGTCATCTCAGCACTCTGAGAGGAAGGCGGGAGGATCACTTGAGTTCAGTGCAAGACCAGCCTGGGCAACATAACAAGACCTCTTCTCTACTACAGTTAGAAACAAAAATCCCAGCCAGGTGTGGTGGTGTGCACCTTTAGTCCCAGCTTTTCAGGAGGCTGAGGCAAAAGGATTGCATAAGCTCAGGAGGTGGAGGCTGCAGTGAGCTATGATTGCACCACTGCCCTCCAGCCTGGGTGATAGAATGAGACCCTGTCTTTAAAAAACAAAACAAAACAGCAAAACCAAACCAAAGCACTGTAGTGTTGTAACCATTTTCCTCATGAATCCTCATGATGGTAACAAAATTGACCTGTTTCCATAAGGCCTTGTCCTAGGGGAAATGAGGCAGCATGTTTAAGGTCTCTTTATTGTCATTCCTAATAGTGACTTTTGCCAAGACCTGCTGTGTGCAGGCCTAAGTGCATCACCTCATGCAGGGCTGCCTCACCTGCGAGGAAGGCTGTTCCTATCCAATTTGACTTGCGAGGGAATGGAAGCTCAGGGAGATGAACTGACTTGCCCCGATCACATAAGCATAGAGCAGCCCGTTTCTGACCCAGATCTCCCCTGGCTGACCCATAGGCTGGTGCCCTCAAGCGCCAGGCTGTGACAAACCCCGTCCTCATTGCACATCTCGGTCTTTGGGGACTTTTTAAAGCATGAAGTTTGCCTTTTTAAAATATTGCATTTGTGGCCGGGCTCACGCCTATAATCCCAGCACTTTGGGAGGCTGAGGTGGGTGGATCACGAGGTCAGGAGTTTGAGACCAGCCTGGCCAACATAGTGAAACCTGTCTCTACTAAAAATACAAAAAAAAAAAAAAAAAAAAATTAGCTGGGCGTGGTGGCAGGTGCCTGTAATTCCAGCTACTCAGGAGTCTGAGACAGGAGAATTACTTGAACCCAAGAGGCAGAGGTTGCGGTGAGCCAAGATCATGCCATTGCACTCCAGCTCCATCGACAGTGGGAGACTCCATCTCAAAACAAACAAACAAAACAAAATATATTGCGTTTCCGTATTACGTATCTTGCTTACTGAGCTTTTAGTGCTCAATGCTCACAGTAAGTTCTGCTTTAAAGGTTCGTGAGGTTGGTCACTCACTCAAGGCCCCATGGCCATAAATGGGGCAGCAGGATGTTAACTGAATCTCCTGGGCACAGTCTCAGCAGCCAGCCTGGAGGCAGCAGCGTGGTTTCTTTCTGTCAGATCCTCATGCTCTCAGATGGAGGAAGGAAACCTGACTTACCACCGGCTCCTAAGTTGCTCTCAGGTCCTCTGGGGCTTGGGCCCAGGGGCTCTCTCTCTCCCAGCTGCGTTCTCACCAATGTGCTTCTTCTCCTGCAGGTCGGGAAAGAGGTTAAAGAAGACCCGCAAGTATGATATCATCACCACTCCAGCCGAGCGAGTGGAAATGGCGCCGCTGAACGAGGAGGATGATGAGGATGAGGACTCCACAGTATTCGACATCAAATACAGGTACAGGGTGGGATGGAGGCCTCCTCCTTGGTCTTGGACATTGAGTTGGTGGGACCTCGAGGCCAGCTATGGTGTCCATGTGTTGTGTTTTGGTTAAGCATTGGGCCCTGGGGTGTTCTGCACATGGAGAGACCTGCTCTGATCTTGTATGAGTCCGTTTTCATGCTGCTAATAAAGACATACCTGGGACTGGGTCGTTTATAAAGGAAAGAGGTTTAATTGACTCGCAGTTCCACAGGGCTGTGGAGGCCTCACAATCATGGCAGAAGGCAAGGAGGAGCAAAGTCACATCTTATATGGATGATGGCAGGCAAGAGAGCTTGTGAAGGGGAACTTCCCCTTATAAAACCATCAGATCTTGTGAGACTTATTCACAGTCAGGACAAGAACAGCATGAGAAGACCTGTCCCCATGATTCAGTTACCTGCTGGGTTCCTCCAACAACACGTGGGAATTGTGGGAGCTACAATTCAAGTTGAGATTTGGGTGGAGACACAGACAAACCGTATTTGATCCCTTCCTAGAACACAAAGCACCCAGAAACCCAGCAGAGAAATGCCTATTTCTTTTCTCAAATGAGAACGTGAAGTCACCTTTAAAGAAGGAAAGGAGGGTTGTGCTTCAGACAACAAGCTAGTTGTCCACTGCTTGTGGGGGGTCCGGCTACTAGCTGTGTGTGCCACACACCGGGCACCCAAACAGCAACTTTTCTTTCAGCCTTGCTTACGTCAGTAGCTGAGGACGTGGGTGGTTGGGTGGATGGCATTCCTGCTTGGATGGAGTTTACCGATGAGCTCTAACAGCAGGTGTGTTTCCTAAAGGTTTTCTCTAGGAAAGTCAGAATGACTTTGTGACTTTAGGATTATAGTGTGGGTTTTCAGATCATTTTGGGATGTACTTTTAATATGTGAGCTTCTTAATGGAAGAACTGAGGATGAGCATAGTTTTGAGATGAGGTTGCAAAGACCCAGAGAAGGGGCATTGGTTGGCCAAGATCCTAGTTAGTAGTAAAAGTGGAGCAGAAATCCAGGCTGGTCCCTATCTGGGCTCCCCAATTCTGTGGCTTCTGCCTGTCTGGGAAGGCAAGCCTTCCACCGTTCCTCAGCACAGCCTTGGCCATCCTTGGCCCTTCTGCATAAAGCAGTTGTCAGGTTCAACAAGACAGTGTTTGGGATTTTGATTGGAGCTGCATTGCCTGTAGATCAGTTTAGGGAGAATCAGCACTTTTACACTGACTTTTCCAATTCATGAATATGGAAGGATTTTCCATTTATTAGGGATTTAAAAAATGTCTTTCAGTACTTTCAGAAATGTATGTATACATGTTTTGTACATTTTTGTTAGATATATTCTCATAGGTGTCTTACAGTTTGATATGTATATTTTTTACTTTAAAGTACTCTTTTATTTATACTCATGTCTGAAAAAAATGACTGTATTATAATGTTTACATACATATTGGTTTTGGAAGCTGAGTTTGTTAGCGAATCATACCGAAATCTTATAAAGAACTTGAAAGCATTAAAACTGACTGGTTATGGAGAGCAGAGTGGGAGAAAAATCCCGCTAGCTATAATTTGCATTTTAGGCAAAGGGGCAGCACCCTTTGAAAAGAATCAAATCAATTAGTAATATTTATCCATACCACAGAATTATACACAGTTAGCCCTCTGTACCTGAGGATTCCACATCTGCAGGTTCAACCAACCACAAATTGAAAATATTTGGGGGTGGGCATGGTGGCTCATGCTTGTAATCTCAGCATTTTGAGAAGCTGACAAGTGCAGATCTCTTGAGCTCTGGAGTTTGAGACCAGCCTGGACCACATGGTGAAAACACAGGTTTAAAAAAAAAAAAAAATTAGTCAGGCATGCTAGTGTATTCCTGTAGCCCCGGCTACTTGGGAGGCTGAGGTGGGAGGATCACTGGGGTCTGAGAGGTGAAGGCTGCAGTGACCCGTGAGCATGCCACTGCACTCCAGCCTGGGCAACAGAGCAAGACCCTGTCTCAAAAAAAAAAAAAAGAAAGAAAGAAAATTTTAGAAAGAAGGAAAAACAATGCAACAATGAAAATAATACAAATTCAAAAAACAATACAGTATAGGAACTATTTACATTGTATTAGGCATTAGAAATATCCCGAGATGATTTAAAGTATACTAGAGAATGTGTATAGGATACATGCAGATCCTCCACCATTTGATATAAAAGACTTGAGCATCTGTGGATTTTGTCTTTGCGGGAGGTCTGGGAACCAATTCTCTGAGGATACCAAGGGATGATTGTATACATAGGAAAGTTAGCGATTGTATTGATTTTATCACTATGTCATTTCATCTGTCTCACATTCAATACAAAGTAGTAAAATATAATGTGAAGAAAACCATGTCCTCATTACTATTCGCAATCAAAAGAGCCTGCTTCCTCCTGCAGAGCGAGGCATGTTGTACAATAGGGAGCACTTAGTGGTTGCAGTGGATCAATGTACTGTTTTGATTCTGAGCCACTGAACAGCATCTCATCAATCTTTGGTGACTGAACTAACTTCATGAGAACCATGATAGATGGAACTGTTTTCGTGGTATCTCCACATCCCATGAAATAAGAGAAGACCCTAAACAAGGAAATATAGCAATCAATCTGCTCAGAAATTCTCTATATAGACTGTTTACTAGAAGGTGGGAAAAAGGGCCTTTCCCTGCATGCATAGATGTCAGTATTCCTGTGGCCTGGTTGCTGGATTGATATTGGTATAATGAAGATAAGGCACACATTAAAACTAGTGTCAGATTAAGAAACTTCCACAGCTTGTCTCTGTTCTTCAAATAATGGAGCGAGTTCCTTTTCTGGGCTGACAATGAGTACCATATTGGCATTGCTGCTGGCGGTGAAACTCACCACTAAACATAAACAATTAAATTGAACCACCTGACTTTTTAATGATCGCCACTCTAACTGGCACGAGATGGTATCTCAGTGTGGCTTTGATTTGCATTTCTCTAATGACCAGTGATAGGAACACTTTTACACTGTTGGTTGAGTGTAAATTAGTTCAACCATTGTGGAAGACAGTGTGGCGATTCCTCAAGGATCTGGAACTAGAAATACCATTTGACCCAGCAATCTCATTACTGGGTATATACCCAAAGGATATAATATAGTCATTCTACTATAAAGACACATGCACACGTATGTTTATTGTGGCACTATTCACAATAGCAAAGACTTGGAACCAACCCAAATGCCCATCGAAGATAGACTGGATAAAGAAAATGTAGCCATAAAAAAGGATGAGTTTGTGTCCTTTGCAGGGACATGGATGAACCTGAAAACTATCATTCTCAGCAAAGTAACAGAACAGAAAACCAAACAGTGCATGTTCTCACTCATAAGTGGGAGTTGAACAATGAGAACACATGGACACAGGGAGGGGAACATCACACGCTGGGGCTTGTCAGGGGATGGGAGGCTAGGGAAGGGACAGCATTAGGAGATGCACCTAATGTAGATGACCGGTTGATGCATACAGCAAACCATCAATGGCACGTGTATACCTGTGTAACAAACCTTCACGTTCTGCTCATGTACCCCAGAACTTAAAAGTATAATAAAGAAAAGAAATATTTTGAGACAATGAAAATAAGTAATATTTATTGAAAAAAAAATTTGAACCACCTGGTAGGTGTTAAAGGTAACAGACAAGTCCAAGTTTGTTTTTTGAACGTCCAGGTGAGCTTGCTGGCTGGCGCGTTGCAAGGGCAAAAGTAAGTGAGACACCTGGTTCCAAGCGTGCTCTGGGGCATTTTCAGTGGTGGCTTTAATGATGTGCATTTCATGTCCATCTGACACAGCCACAGCACAGGGCCTTTCAATTCTTGGTGGTTTTTAATACAGGAATCGTGTTAGCTCCCTGAAGCACCTTAGCAGTGTCTTCTCTGCCCCTATTCTGAGCAGAAATAAATCCCTCTGTGTTAGATTCCCGCTCCAGACCATCGCCGTATAAAGCGCCCCTCTGTCCCACTGACCAATCTCCATGCCTGGGTTTCTACTTCCGGGGCGGCCAAGTTCTCTCTGCTGCCACTTTGGGGACAGTGTCAGAAACAGATTTCTCCGCAAACTGCCACCTCACGATTCATGACTTTGTCTCTGATGTCTTTGAAAAAATATCATTTTAAAACTTTTTGTTTATGGCAGTTATTTTTTTTTAAAGATACTGATTTAAAAAAAATTCAGCAACTTTGCTAAACTTTCATTAATTCTTGTAGGATACATGTGGAATCTGGGTTTTCTGTGTAGACATGTCATCTGAGACTAAGAAGAGTCCCTGTCCCTGCTCCCAAGTCCTTAAACAGTTTCTCTCTCCTTTTGCCTTTTGGTACTCTTGGCCACAAAGTCATTGTTAAACAGAAGTGATGCCACTTCTGACACCAGGCTGGGCGAGGTGGCTCATGCCTATAATCCTCGCACTTTAGGAGGTGGAGGCTGGAGGATCACCTGAGGTCAGGAGTTGGAGACTAGCCTAATCAACATGGTGAAACCCCATCTCTACTAAAAATACAAGAAATTAGCCAGGCGTGGTGACAGGGGCCTGTAATCCCAGCTACCTGGGAGGCTGGGGCAGGAGAGTTGCTTGAATCAGGGAGGTGGAGGCTGCAGTGAGCCGAGATCTTGCCATTGCAGTGTAGCGTGGGCAATGAGAGAGAAACTCTGTCTCAAAAACAAGTGATGATAACAGGCATCCTGTCTTGTTATTGATGTCAAAGGACATGCTTTCAACATTTCACCACTTAGAGTAGTGTTTGCTGGAGAATTTTTGTGGATTTCTTCCTCCATCAGGAAGTTCCCCTCTATTCTTCATTTGCTGATGCTAAATCCTATTAGATGCTTTTCTAGCTCTATTGAGAAGTTCAGACTTTTTCCTTTAATCTGTTACAGTGGCAAATTTATATTCATTAATTTTCTTTTGTTTTGGACAGAGTCCTACTCTGTTTCCCAGGCTGG